ATCCGAGCAGTTCCAATAGGGTCTTCGCACCCTTTTGGGTGCTCGGACCCTAATAAAATGGACTGGCACAAAATGGAAAGTACCAGTAGATTCAAATTGTGCAGTAGTTAACTGTACTTTTTTTTTTTTTCCTGCCAATCCACCATAACCCCACTCTTGTTCTCCATCTCGCTCTGCTTTCCCTCTCATATTAAAATTGAGGTGATGCAGTCGCCCAAGAAAGACCTGATTTAGGCCGTCCTGGAAATGCTTTACATGTGAAAGAGTAAAAAATGATGACACGTTTCATTGGCCGTCGTGCAGCTGACTGTCGCGTTGTCTTTATTTGAAGATGTGGGACGGGTGGGTGGTAGGGGAGGGGGAGGGGGGAGATTAGGTGTGATCGCAAGTGTGATGAAACATGCCGTCACTCAGAGTAATACTCGGATACCTTTAACTCAGCTGAAGATATAAATTACATCTACTGATTATAGAGCATTAATTCTTAATGTTTCCAGAAGGAGTGCGCCCGAGATTTTGCAATTGCATTTTTAATGGCGATAAAAAAAAAACATATTTTTAAAAAACTGATCACAGCCCCTCTCTCTAATCCGAGCACTCATTGTTCATATATAGTGTAAATATCAGCATTGTGTGCTGTTGTTGTTGACTCTAACCTGGTGTTAACCACAGACTAAATCCTATTTGGAGCCATGCAGCGCTCTGGCAGACAAAAGCAAAGCCAGCAGCCAGCTCAGCACTCAGAGGTAACATTTACACAGGGGACTGAGAACATACTGTGGATCCCTACAGCTACACAGCCAGCTTGTCAAAACTGTCTTTATACTTTGGAGCTGTCAGGCCTTATGGACTGAGGACACCGACAGGACACAACTGGCATTGCACAAACACAGCTGGAAAATGCTGCTGTACTGTAAAACAATGCATTACGTTTGGGAAAATCTTTCATGTTTCGCATCCCATCTTGGCCCAGATACTGTAAATGTGTCTTCCTTCTAAATCTGCATAAACAGTTTACTCCCCCTGGTTTGACAGACAACCTCTTTGCACAAATATTCAACGTGATATGCGAAGGGGGAGAAAAAAAAAAGCTCCGTCTTCAATCAAAGATAGAGAAAAAGAGGAAAACATATCTTAGTCTGGAGTGTCCAACACTTTAATACAGAAAATTACAGATACAGCACAACACATATTAGTTTACCTTTCTTACAATGACTCAAAATAACCTACTAAACACAACAAATGTAAAACATATTACAGTTAAAACATCTATACAGGCAAATGTACACAATATAAAACACATATATACACTCTTTTAATATATTATTATATAAAGATTTGTGTTTTTTTTGTTTTGTTTTTTTTGTTTAACCTTTAAAACGGGAAGCCAAAACAGCTTGAAGAGGGAGTGTTTCACAGAGAATGAGAACTGAGAGAACGGCTGAGTATCACAGACACATTGTGGATAGGTAGTTTTTACATACAGTTGTTGGATCCTGTGTATTTAGCGTGCCAATTTCTGAAACGACGGGTGAAAAGAGATAAAGAAACGACGTTCAAATACACAAAATTTGCTGTTAAAACCCTTAAGTGCTATTGATATTACTGGATTATACAGGATCTAGAAGCCACAAAAAAACAGCTTACATATTGTATGGAGTGATATTCATCTTCATACACGGTGGAGTGTTCGGAGGTTGTGCACTTTATCAGTAAAATGAAATATTTACAACAACAAAAAACTCATTCTGTGTTGCTACTTTGAGGTCAGCATAATGTAACTACGAGTTGAACCTTTCAAAGAGTGTTGTAAACCAAATGGATAGCGACCATGTGTAAACAGCGTGTCAGCCTGGACCACAACTCCTATCATTTCATGTACTTTTCTTCAAATGGTGAGATGCATGTATGAATCCACAAAAAAAAGAAAGGCAAAAAAAAGTGGGAAACTTGTTTCTTGAGTGTGAAATCCTTCAAACGACAAAAACAGATCAAGACATTCACAAATTCAAAAAAACAAATATATATGTCTGAGCTCTAGTCACTCTTTCCTCAAGCTGGTAATGCTTCCGTGTTCGGTTTGTGTCCTCTTGTTTTTTTTT